GTACGACACACACACACACACACACACACACACACACACACACACACACACACACACACACACACAGTAACATAAATAGTATGATAATGCAAAATGCAAAAACCATACAAGCTTTTTCTACTTTATTATTGAACTCGGAGAGATTTATGCAAATATAACTACGAGATAATAACCACGTACCATGTATAACCACGACACAATAACTAAAGACACAATAAAATAACTGCAATACCTATGTCAAAACGATCATTTTCCTTCTTGTGCATTTTTTTTTTTTCGTTAGTATTGTCGGGAGATAAATGTTGCGTGATTTCCTGCTGTTGCAAGTGAATTCCATAAAGCGTCCCTGAGTGCATCGCTGGTCAGTAAACTCGCGATACACGTCCCGGCAGACAGAGCAAACGCGTTCTATGAGCGAAAGGTGCATGACTTACTTGGCGAACCGGTATTCGAGCCCTCCGGAGCTCAACGTGGCATAGAAACGCACCGGACAGGAAGAGGAGTCGAGCCGGTAAGCTCCTAGTGACACACATTCGCGAATTCTAGCGTGCATTTCTCGTCTGCCGGGATGATTAGAAATTTGGATTTAACGAAATTGAAATTTTCATTTCTCTAGTCAACACTTTTCCCTCATTATTTTGCGCCAACATTACTTCACGTGCCATTTGTTTTATTACCGCGTGCATTATTGCATTAATGTAAAAGAGTCCGGTGAACACACATTAAAAATGGAACAAAATATGTATGTTAACATTTATTTTGTTATTGAGTTAGTAATTATTTTTAATAACTTTCACTCTGCCTCGAAACAAGAGTGGCTCGAGTGGCTTTTCTAGTTTTCAAAAAAATTAATTAAAAAGTTTTTTTGTTAAATATTTTTAAGGTGGTGCTAAAAATTCCTTTTTGGATTACAGAGTGCAATATTGATGCCGACTTAGGTTGCATTATAAATTAATCATTTTACATGTAGGTATAAACATGCATTCGTATATACGTGTTCAACCTGTCGTCAATGACCATGAATGTTTGTAACATGATCCAATAGTAAAAGACCGCATGGACGCATAATTGCTCATTGATATTGCAGCTCGTATAATTTATTCTGCACCGACCTAATGTCTACCTGTACATTTTTATAGACGTTGATTTTTATTTTATGAACTTTTATGCACTTGTATGTTATGCACAGATCCAAATCAGATACCGAAGGAATTTATACGTTGTTTAAGAACATTCAACGAAAGCGGGGAAAAAGGAAACGTTTATTCTCAAATATATTTTACTAAAATAAAGGCATACATAACATAAATATGTATACTTTATATCTTGATATATGAAGATATAAGAGATGATTTCTCTGACTCATCCTTTGACCGACACGAAACGGATTACCACAGCTTGCATAAAAAGACGCATAGTAAACGATAGTCCTAACTCTATATTGCCTGTCATCATGGACGTAATAT